AGCTTTTCCTGTTTCCAAAAGCTAGTTAAAAGGGGGGCATGTATACATCCGTAATGTAGGGTTATTTAATGCAAAGTGTAAAATGCAAAACAGGAGCATAGACTTAAAATTAAATATATTAGATGAGTTCTCCTTCTTGTCAGGCAGAAAATAAAACAACTATTGTTAACATTCATGTCAAGAAAATACTTAACGTTTAGCTTGTTTCAAAGAAATATATACTTGCACAATGAATAGAGACACGGAGCTTTTCAAAGTCCACTGAGTTGCTGGCATAAGAGAGGTAGGTACTACATGAATTAGATTAAAGTGTTTAATAGTCATTTCCACTTTTCAGATTTATTTCATATTTATTCACAGGATATGAGCCAAAGTTTAATTTTGACATGTCTTCATGTGAAACTCAGGAACCTAGCACTTAAACAATTCAACTGTTACTGTTTCAATTTATTTTCATTACTAGTTGGCATGCAGTATGACTGTATAAATGAGAATGAATGCACACATGCTCATAGTGCTTCTCCTCTGAGACCTGGCTGACATACTATCACTTTGAGTAGATATCAGGTTTTGACATTCCATAAAGATTAATTTTCCTATTATTCATTTCTAAGATATCTAAATTTGAACAAATTATAATCACCCAATAGGTAAACATGGACTCCATGCAGCTAAAGTTTTTACATAAGCCACTTAAGCTCCAGTGAATAGATACATAAATAAATAAATAAACTGTATATGCAAATCTGCCAATCATACTTGCTGAAATTTACTGAAAAAATATTATACTTCATATTGGTAAGTTAGATGAAGTGGAGTCTTTGTTAACACATGGGAAAATAATTGAACATTTGGTCTAAGTCACAATCATTTCTGTGTGCAAATACAAGACTGTCAGTCTTGGATATGTTTCTTCCATATGCTCAGGATGTGGGAGAAAGAAGGGATATTGACACACAAAACAATGGCTTCAAGTCTTATGGGAACATGCTGTGATAGGGAATTTTTTATTGATTCATTTGATTACAATTTAGATTTATAGAGCAACTCACCACTACCTTTGACTGGTGTACAGATTTAAAAAGATATAAAACTTGAAAACAAAACAATAAGTAATATAAAAGTAAATGTAATGCAAGGAATTCTAACCAAAAAAACTCAAAACTGTACACCAGAAAGGTACATCCTGATCCATCCAGAGCTTGAGCAATAAAATAGATTTTCAGGCTTTTATGGTCAGAAAAGTCTAAACCTTGAACTATAGTCTTGAACATACAAACATGATCTGAACATATCAGTCTGAACTATATGCTATTTCAAGGGGCAGATACACATCTTATTTCCCATCATATGATATTGTTTAATGGATGGGACAAAAACTTTTTCAGCTCTTATGCAGAAGGCAGAAACAACCTGTACTACTTTCCACCTGTCAATACTGACTAAAACCAGTCAGTTTCCTTTTTTCCTCTAGGATCAAATCTAGGTATTTGCTATGGAGGAAGAAAGGTGAGCCCTAGAGCCTTGCTTTGCAGAATGCCTTTCCTCCCCAGTTTTGTTTAACATGATCATGAAACTATTGGACAAAGTATTTTTGTTAGCATGTGGTGAAGTATCAACATAATGCTGATGAAACTCACTTGTATATTTATAGTTAACTGGATGATACTGTCAAGGCCTTCCCAGTATCTGGAAGCTCTGGGGGCTTGGATGGCAGGGGGACAGAGGTCGACTCCTAGACCCCTAATTTGTGGGGTGCCTCAGGGGTCGGTCCTCTCCCCCCTTTTGTTCAATATTTATGTAAAGCCGCTGGGGGAGATCATCCGTGGCTTTGGGGTGGATTTCCATCAGTACGCTGATGACACGCAGCTGTACATTTCCACCCCAGGCCACCCCAACGATGCCCTTGA